TTTATACTTCTAAGTAAAATTGGCGCCTCAGAGCAAAGTTAAGGTGCTATATATTGTAGAGCTGTGTGGCTGGCAGCTGGCGATGCAATTTATAGCGTTAACTTATGAGGGTGCAAAGTAATGTAAAGTAGAGTAAATCCAAATGAATTCAATTCTTTTTTTCTGTTTTATGTATTTATTTGCGGGTATTAGCTATAACATGGGCGAGTGGAGGAGCCCGCCAGGACGCTGCCTGCAATTAATTAACGGCAATGAGAGATGTTGCCGTTGCCTTTATGGCAACTAATGTGCGTTGCTTTTGTTTCTTTATGTTGCAGCAACATATTGCCGTATTATTTGTACGGTTTTTTTTTTCTTTTTCTTCGGCTTTTGTGTGCTTTTGCTTGGCTCGACTGGCCAATGTCTGGCTAATTTTCTATTTATTTCACCGCACAACGTGCATTGCCGTCTGACAGCAGCTGTGTGCATGTGTGTGTGTGTGTGCTCCACAATCAGTCTAATTTATGAGTTTCTTGCACTTTCAGCCCAAAAATCGTTAAAGCGCCCGAATTGTAACTTTAACTGGACGCTCTCTTGTCATTTATTTTAGTTGAGTTTATTTTATTTTATTTTATTTATTTGAGTTTTATTTTTTTGAGCTTAAAGTTTGAATTCGTGTTGCTGACCGCACCCTGGCTCAGAACTAGTTTAAATACATTCGTTACTTCACTCCATTCGCTCATCAACTTGGAATTGACTCTAATGACATTCACGTTTCTGTTGCATTTCGAATGCCAATTGCCAATTGCGAATTGGCTGTTGCCAGTTTGCCCATTGCCTGGCACACGCCTGGCAGCCCGCTTGGCTACTGGGCTTGAAGTTCAGCACGGGGTCGGGAGCTGGGGGAAGGGAGGGAGGCAGTGTTGCTCCTTTGGCCCGTGCGTGTTGTCATTGTTTGTTGTATGCTGGATGCTGGAGCTGTTTAAGAGACAACATTTTCCATTTAGCTGCAACTGATCTCATCTGACATGGCCTTTTAGCTATGATTTATGTATGCGCTTTTCTGCTTCAAGTGCAAATACTTAAATACACTCGGTTAAGGAGTATAGCGATTGTATTGTGCTGTATGTGAGACAGACTTTTCGATATGTATATGAGTATATAATATGTATACTCTTAATCAGCTTCAAGAGCTTTGAAATGCAGCTCATATCAGCAGCTATTAATGTTGGCTGCTATATAGAATGTATGACTTGTGATTATATATAGCTAGTATATATATAGCTATGTATATTATAACAGAGAATTACCATTTATTTATTTCATCATAAATTATTTTATGATATTTTAGAAAAAAAAAAAAAAGAATCTTACTCGAGGCTTTAAAAAATAAAATTACTCCAATTATACTTGTATTTCCTCTATAAAAAGTAAATTAGATCAAATAATATAAAATTTGTTGTAGTGTATTTAATATTCATTAACTATATACAATTATCTGCATTTACAGATTGTTCTTGTTTTATGGGCGTCTGTTGTCATGTGGGTTGTTTAGCAATTGTTGTTTAAATTAGCTCGTGCATTGCTCTTAAATAAAGAAAATAAGTTATAAGAAAAAATGTAATATTAGCTTTATTGTTTTTATTATTTTTTTCCTTATTACTATACAGTATTAATTAATTTATTGTTTGTACTTGAACGAGACACGATTGGCACAAATGCATGCATAAATTTTGTAACATGAAATGCCAATGAGACATTTCTTCGAGCTATGATAAATTCCGATTCAGCATCAATGTAAATCACAGTGCAGACTGCAGATTGCAAACGGTTTGCGCAATTAATTTGCGCTGCAAATTTTCTGCAAATTTCTGTTGCAATTCGATATCTGCTGAAGATTGCACCGATCAGATATGGGATAAACGCTCAGCCATATTGGGGCTATGCCACAACAGCAGCAGCAACAACAACAACAACAATTATTAAGCGTAGATCGGCAGCCAAACGATCGAGTAGAAAATTTGGTTTCACATTACACATTGAAAGGAAAAAACTTGTTGCTGCTGCTGCCGGGTGGAAATTGTTGAATGCATTTAGTGACCATTAATCAATTTGCAGTGCCGACGCTGGCGATTTTCTGGCGGGATTTGTGGCCAGTAAATAAACACCCGCTAAAGCGAAAAGCACGCTAGTTACAGCAACCAATTAAACTGCACTTTTAGTGTTTTACTTTTTATTTTACTCTCCGTCTAGACTGTGTTTTATGTTTGTCGTCTCGAATTACTCATAATTTGTTATATGTTTAGCAGCTTTTAGATTTTCCATTTCATTCATGCAAATTGTCAATAATAATTCACATTTGACATAATCTTTATAAATTGGCCATATTCGCAGAAGCTGTGAATGCGAATATGCTTCAAGTGCTCCTCCCCAGACACACTGGACCCACACAATAATCACAATGTTTGTGAAATGAAAGTCAAATGTTGATAAGAGACTTTTTGATATTTTCAACTGTCATTTAGCTATTTTTGTTAGCTTGTATATAAATTTTTTTTCATTCCTGAAGCTTCCTCGAAAACTGAAAATGAGCTTTAAATGATTTTTTAAACAAGTCTTTGGCCTGCCATTGTTTCTCGTGAATAATACTTAGGCAAATGTTAAGCTACTTTTCATTATTTCTTTAATTTTACATTACAATTTACTAACAGTTTATATTTTATTTTCTATTATATACATATTTACAGTGCGTTACCCCTTGCCCTTTATTTTTACAAATTTTACTTTCAATGGAGAAGAATTGTAAGCAAAATGAAAGTAAAAAGTCAATTAGAGATAATTTTCGTTATTTTCTGTTTAGTTGGATTTTTTGTGTTTTTTTTTTTTTTTTTGGTGGCTTGTGGCTTCAACTTTGCCATTTGGAATATGCAATGCAATAATTCGCTACCTCGCAATCGCAATGATTCAGTTTTAGCAGTTTTTTCTTTGCTTTTTGGCTTTCCCGGAGGCAACAAATTGGCAGGTAGCTAATGCTGTAGCGTTGTGTGTGTATGTGTATACGCTTCGTAAAGTTCAAGCCCGAGGCTAGCTGGCTGTCTATAGATGTTTGACGGGGCGTGGTTAACCAAGTAGCCCAAGTGGCAAATTCAATCAATAGCCAGCTATGGATGGAAGTTGCAATTGCAAATGCAACCAAATATATATATATATGTATGTATATATATATAGAAAATATGTACAGTGCAGTCGCAGTATACTCGTCAGCGCACACTGAAAATTGAATTTGAATTTAAATTTGGATTTTGTTTGGTTTTTGGTTTTTTTTTTTTCTTTTTTGTATCTCTGAGCGCAAAATTGATGTGAAAAACGTGAGTTACGGCAATTGCACGAAAATTGTGTACGTCCGCGCTACTATTTGATATTTATTTATATGTATTTCGATATTTATGGCTAGGTGTGGCCCAACAACAATAACTGCAATTAAATTATCAACAAATCAAATAATATGACAAATTTTTTTTAGCCCAAAAAAATATTTGGCAATTGGCGCTTGTAGCTATTAAGGCCTCTTTTGGCATTTAGTTTCTAATTGAAATTGAATTGATTTGCATTGACACACCGGAACTGGCAAGCGAATCGTCAATAATTTTGTTAAATCACACGCGCTTCGCCCTGACAACAGACCAAATTCAAATATATTTGAATCAAAGATTATTATATTAATTATTATGCTATATTTGCTTAGGCGAAAACTCGTTTTTGAACAATCAATGCCTGGTTTGAACTACAAAGGTAGTTTTTGGCATAAAAAGCAACAAGTTTGAAATCTTTTAATGTCATTTCAAGCATAATATTAAACATATTTTGTCGCACGTTTAGTCTGTTTTGCATAAAGATATATACGAGATATATACGAGAGGTATAAAAGACCAGTAGTTGGCTCAATTGATATATCTAAACACAGGGTATTTCTTAGTCAAGCACTGTGTTTCTTATTTAGACACACACACATACACAAGCAACTGACAGAAACTTGGCAATTCAATCTATTTGATGCCTCGCAATATTCATACGCCACGTTGTACGAAGCATCATTTGCTGCTATGCCAAGTCAACATCTCTGTGTGTATGTGTGCGTGTTTGCATTTGTGCTGCAAGCTTGCATTGCGCTTGCACCAAATTGAAGCATTTCACATTTTTAATTTGTACGTGATAGGGCAAATACATAGTTGCTGCCTGCTACTCGATGATGTTCGAGTTCCATTTGCTGTTTGTGCTCTTGCTTTTGTTTTGATGTTTGAGCACAGAAATTATGCAGCAATTGCCAAGTAGAAAAAGAGCTTTTGTTGTTGTTGCTATTATAGTTGTTGTAGCTGGCAGGGTGCCTGCCCCCCTTGATGTTGCATGCTTAACTCCCAGACAAATTGTCTCTCGTGTCTGCTTTGTCTGGCAGCACTTAGCACGTGATTGAAAATTGCAACGAAATGAAGAGATTGCAACAGCAACAGCAACAAAARCAACAACAATGTTTAGTTCTTGTTGCACACAATTCATTTCGCATTCATTTCACTTCAGTTTTTGCATTTCATTCGATTGAAAATTAAGTTAGATTTTGTTGTACCTCCAAATTTGGAAAATTACAGGCAACATCGCATTTTTGTTGTTGTGGACTCTTTGTTTTTGGCATTAAAAGCAAATTTACAAATTAGTGTGAAATTATGGCAAAAAAAAAAAAAAAAAAAAAAAAAAAAAACGCCACACACAAACAAGAACAGCTCAAATGGCAGCAATAACAACAAAGTAATTTCGCCGAAAAAATAGGAAGAACAAAAAATATGAACGAAGTAAAGCAACAACAACAGACAGCAAACTCACCGAATATAAAAGCTGCTAAAATAATATGTAAAGAAAACAAAAGATTTGAAGGCAATTCATATTTTAGACGACTTTTAAATACACTTGATAATTTAATAATTTGAAAAATGTATTTAATAATATAATTTGTATGTATATTTATCAATTATATGCTAATGTTTAGCTCCTCCGTCATAATTTATTGAACGTTCCCATTTGCATCTGTCTCGATATGAATAAACCACAACCCAAAAGTAAACGCTGAAAACTGTCATAAGAGTTGTATATAAGAAATATATATATACATATAGTATAGATGTCATACATACCCATTGTAAGTAGTATGAAGGAAACTAAATAGACGCAGAAATTACATGTTGCAGCCAATATAATAAAATATATAAGGCTGGTCCCCAGATGTATGCCACTTGATATCAAATAAACCAAGAGAAAGTTTGGCGATTTCTAAATGAGCCGATATATATTGATAATCAAATAGATAAGTTTTGATATTATATCTTACATAAATTATGCCCATCAGCAGAAACACATTGCCAATCAGATATATCATGCCACCCAAGCGACTCACTATCAAGAACTTATTTCCAGAAGACCCTGCTTAAACGATGAAATAAATATTTATTTACATTTATACTCTGTATTGATTTCAACTTACATTGACCCAGGCAAATGGCGTAAAATGATAACATGAACTCAAAGACATAGATGATAAAAGAACCGCAACGCAGATCTACGCAGAAGCAACATTTCTTTAAGAGTTTCATTTTAATTTTCTGTATAAAATACACTTGATGCAAAAGTCATGGCCTAGCTGTAAGGCCCTGATCTAGGCTAAGGCATACATACACACAACAAGTTGTTTAGCCGTACTACACGGAATTTCCAGCAAGGTCAAAGTCAGCTGCTCGGAACCACAAAAATAAAAAAAATAAAAACCAAACAATAGCCTAAAAAAAAAAAACAAGTAAAAATGCTCTAGACGCAAATGAACGTTGARAACATACCCTAAGTAATTGTTTTTCCGAACTGGTGGGAAATTAAGAAGTTCTAAAAATGTCTAAAAATACCAAAATGAACTTGTTCTGATCGTGATCAAGAATACATGCCTACATACTGCTTGTGGCATAGAGCTTAGCTAATTCATCATACCACGTTTTCCTAGGTTCAGTCGTTCTAGGGTATAAGGGAACCTTGTATATGTAGTGCTTGCTGTGTTATACGTTTAATATTCTAATTTAGGCTTTGTTCTATGAGCTGCTAAAGATTATGCCTAACGGGTGGGCGGGGGCGTTGGCGCTTAGGGGGAGTGGCAGTAACTCCAATTTGACAAGACAAAGTCGTTGAGCGTCTCTATAAATTACAGTTCGTTCAGCTGGAGGAGTCGCCGCTGCGGGTGCTTGGCATTTAAATGGAGTAGATATATATTTATATACTATATATATGTATATGTATATTTGCTATATATAGCGTATACTATATGTATATCCATTTACCTTTCGCGATACTCCAATGAATAAAATAACCATTCAAACAGCTTTTAATTAACAGTCAGCACTGGCAATCAGCGACGCACGTGCGTTCTTCTGGCCGCACCGAAAAAAAAATGAAACAGAAACAGAAAACTGAAAATGAAAATTAAGCCGGAGAGGCCTAGCCATTAAAATTCATTAGCCATATGCACATCGGCCGCGCTTTTATTAATAAACAATAAAACACATTAAAGAAACCAAGCCAAAAAAAAAAAATTTATATATATAATTTAAATGATGAAACGAATTTATAAATTTTTGGCAACGAGAGCAGCTGCATTGGCAGCTCGATTGGCCAAAATAACAGCAGCTAAGCAACAAAAAGGTCAAAATGCTTTTTTGAATTGTCTGCTATAATTTCGCACGCTCTCTGTTCAAAGGCGTGGCCCTTCGTTGGCCCAGCTAAAAAGGTTAAGAGGGCCAAAAGTACATTAGGGGCATTACTGTAGATCAATTATTTTTTGGGTTTAAATATTTATGTTAGTCAATATATAATTTGTGGTTAAGTGAAGCAAGAAATCATTTTTTTAATGTGTTTTTAACAAATGTATTTAAATTTATTTTTGCAATTCAAATATTACAAAATTAAAATACAAATATAGTATATAAAAAACAATAAAATGTATTACACTTTAGACTTGTAGATAAAATGTGTTCTTGGACGGTTTGTATAATACAATATAATTTAAAAAATATTTGTGATATATTTCTTAATTTATAGTTGTTATGATAGTTTAATATTATGCCAGATTTTTATAACAACAAGCTAAATAGCTTTGAATTTTGTGTTTAGTTAACGTAACGCATATAGCCTTTTTCTTTTAGATGAGCGAGTATAGAAAAGGTTCTTTTTACTCATCTATTTCTCTTTCTCTGCCCTCTCTCGTTTTAATGACGTAATTGTCAAGCCTCGTCGTGAACTCGCCTTTTGCTTGCTTAATTGTGTAATTGTTTAAAAATAAATTACAATTTCGTTTAATTTCGTGTTGATAAGCGTGCATATGACTAATATTTTAGCTGATGTTCAACGGGGTAGGACGGTGTAGATATGAAGGCACGTAGACAGTCGGTCTGTTATACTTATTTCTTGTTTATTTCAATTTTTTTTTTTTTTTCAATATCATTCTTAATTTTTTTTTTTATGTATGTTATATAATCGAGGCATAAAATGCTGTATAAATATAAATAAGAGATATATAAGTATAACATTTGTTGAATATAAGATAAGTACACGCAGAAAGCTTTGTAGCTCTCTGAGTATTGCTAGATAAGTACATTGTATTATCTTTATATTGATGTTAGACTATTGCTATATAGAGCTCTATTTTCAGCTGCGAGCAATGAGACGACAATATGGTATTTACTATTCTAAAATTGAGTCAAATCGCGATCACGCTGACTAAGAAAGTAAAACGCTCGAGTTGTTTACTATTTCTAATATTCAAATAGATGTCGAGTACATATATGTTTATACACACACATACTGGTCTATCCATATATAGCGTTAATCGTTTTACAGCACTTAAAGTTGAGTGTTTAAAAATAGTCGCTACTCATAGTAAACGTTAATTGTTATTGCGCTAATTCGATAAGGGGCGTTTGGCTGATATTGGGTTCAAGTTCAGTGGGTGCGCGATGGGGCGGTTGCTGTGCTGCTGAAGGTGGCTCCCACCCACTCGCACACACACTCTCTCACTCTCTGTCTCACTCACTCTCCAGCTCTTTAGATAACACTTTCAAATTGTTGCATAAATAATTTCAACAACTGAAATAATATTTTAATCTATTCAATGTCAAGGTCAAGCGAGACACACAACAAGAAATTCGTTTGTTTTGCTCTCGACATTTCTTTTTCTTTATTTTTTCGCTTTTATGTACTCTCCCTCGTGTTTATTTTCTGCTCGCCTCGTTGTGGATTTTTTATTTTTGTTTTATTGAGTATTGTTGATAACTCTATTTGCTTGGGCTTTACGTAAAAAAAAGGAAAAAAGTAAAAAAAAAAAAAAAAACAGCAACAAAAACAATAAAATTCTTCAACAGTCCGTGACAAGACAAAATTCCAACAGCAACAACAACAGTGGCCAAAAATCCAGCTTTGGACAAAAAATTTGCTTTGTATTTAATTTTATTTATTATACTCGTTCAGTTAGTAAATAGAGTATTATGATTTTGTAAAGTGTTATATAAAATATATATTACAGGAAAATATATGTCTTCCGCAGTCTGAACATGAGCGAGTATCATGCAGTCAGCACGATTAAAATATTTTTTGCTGTCATTTGTTTAAAATTTGTCAGTTATTTGTTTTGTTTTTATGATATTTACTTTACTTTCCGTTTTGTCTAATTCAAATAAAACAGTTAAAAGGCAAATTTATTACATTTTAGAATTTATGACTCATATGCGTAGATAATGCAGCTTGTTTTTGTTTTTGTTAAATTGTGCCTTACTATGGCCGGATCTTGGAGTTGAAATCGTCACGTATTAGCTCAATGAAAGCCAAACATTTTACATGTAACATATATAGCTTTTGAATAGCTTCACTTGGGATATGCGATTGGGGGTGCCTCTGTCGCCTCTCATAGCCAACGTAGTTACGTGCGCTTTGTGGCCAAAGGAAATCTTTATCTGACGGCGACGTCACTTTGTGCAGCAAGGCACATGCAATTTCCGCTGGCTGTCAACTGCCAACGTATTCGATATGCATTGCTATGATGCGAGAGAATATTGTAAGAAAAATGCTGTCATAATGTATAATACAATATATATATATAAATATGTATATATATACAAAGCATAAGCATATTGCAAATATACCCTGCAGTGTGGGCGGAAATGGGTGTAATAAAAAAGGTAAAAGGCAATTCCTAAAAGAACATCATCTGCATACAAAGTCTTGGGAAGAAATTTCCTTATTTAGTTTACTGACTTTTTTTATGCAAAATTTTCTTGTAGCTAAAAAAAGTTATTTTATTATAGGATATGCTGCAAGTTGTGTATTCCTTTCATAAGTATCTTATGCATATCTTTATATTTATTTTCTGAATTGCATTTGCTTATCATATTTTGTTTATGTTTTCTTTCTATTTACAGCTCCACCTCTGGTTGCAATGGCATCTTCTCACGTCGCGTGGATTTCTCATCATTCAATTTGCTGCCAAAGACGCGTTTGAATTCTTATCAAGTTAAGGTGAGTTATTGCCAACTATATCTATCTATGGCATATATAAATGAATAAGTGAATATAGTCAATTCGTCGCGCTCTTTGCTCATTAATCAGCTAAACGAACTACAACTCTAGCTGACTTTAGCTATTTCTATACACTCATTGACTCGCTTACTCGCTCACTTATTCACATTTCTTGATTATACTGCATTCATTCATTCACAAATGTTCAATTCGCTGGGCTTTCAGTTCTTGGAAGTTACACACAATCATATATATGTATATGAAATCGCCTGACTTGGCAATTGGCTGACTAGCAATTGGATATGGTCTTGGGACAGGCCATGGCTATGTTAGGGATCTTATGGGTTAGGGGCCAGCTGCTGCTGCTGCTGCTTCTGTGGCATTGTTTGCATAGCGCAATAGTTTAGATAATTTGCAGATGTTGTTGTATCAGTCAGCCAGCAAAACGAAAATGACAAAATTCTATGGAAAAAGCAGTATAAGAAAATTGCTGGCAAAGTTTTCTGATGTTGTTTTTGGCTTTTGTTATTGTTTTCGGTTTTCATATATGTTTTAGGTGTCACATAAAGGAACTGAAATATGTGAGTTTTGTTGTTTGAACTACTGGGCGATATTTTTTCTAAGCGAAATAGAGCTTTTACTAATGGATTTAAGAAATTTTATTGGGCATTCGATAACATTATTGGAGGAAGGAGAGTGAGTTGGAGAGTGAATTAGAGGAAGTGTATAATACAGAATGACAAATCTTTTAAATTGAAATATCTAAATATAATATTACGATGCGTAAGGAATGCACTGCTAAAAATTTTGAAAGTGTTGGGTTTATTGAACAGAACATAGTATATACCTATAATTAGTTATCAAACAGCAATTTATTCAATTTTTTGTTGAAATGTATTTTGGGTGAACTCCTAAAATGAACGCAGTTTGCAACCCATATTCGATTGAGATATAAAAAGTTTGGCCTGCCCATGATATTGAATACCTTAAGTATATAAACAATCTCTCCCCTGTCAACTAGTTCAAGTAAGCTTCAATAGCCATTAAATTTATTTATTATATTGATTGTGCATTTTTCAATGCAATTTCAAATTTTTATTAATAATAACAATAATTTGTTATTATAAACATTTATTTTTACTATAAGCATTTTTAATTTCTACTTTGGACTTTGCCTTTGTTAGAGTATTTGTGTTTCGTTGTGCTCTTGTGGCAGCCTCTCGTTGTGGCTAACTGTGTATTAGATTACTGTTTACACTTTCGGTTGTGCCAATGTCGGCATATTTTATGTGTGTGCGTTGCGGAGCAGCGAGCCAACGGTAAAGGAATGAAGCAAGCAACTTTGAGCTGCATAGTGTTTTGATATGCTGCGGTTTTTTTTTTTTCATTATTATTATTATTATTGTTATTATTTATTATTGCTGATAATGGTTATGCGAGAGCGGATATTGAACTGTACCCCATTGAACAGACCGCACAAGTTGTTCGAGTAGCAATTAGCTGAAGCTGTAGACGCAGTCGTGAAAAATGCATAAATAGAAAATGTAAAGCTGTGAGAGTTCGCTTTGAAAATTTTATGATAGATATAAAAACATACAAACATACATACATATGTATATACACTCTCGCAGGACACAATAGCAATTGCCGAGTAGATAATGCAAAAAGGCTATGGGCAGGAGTTTGAGCGGGTGAAGGGAAACACTCTGTGTGCATGACAATAGCAAAATGTTTGTGGCTACCTGTCGCTGCAGCTATAACTGTATCTGTATCTGTATCTGTATCTACATCTATAGCTTCTGAATCCCTAGCCAACTTATGTAGCCCATCTGCGCCCAGCTTGGTGCTAGCTTTTGTCTGCTTCAAAACTTTACAATTCAATTTTTATCTCACTCTCGCTCTTTCTCTCGCTCTCTCGTTGTATTGGTATATGTGCGTGTCTTATATCTCCAGCTCTCTCCCTTCTTTTCCATCTCTCTCTTTATTTTGGCAGTCTGCCGCTTGGCATGCATTTGAAATTGCATTTTGTATTGAATTTATAAATATTTAATGCCATTCAAAATGCCATGCAATCGCCCAGACTAAACGAAACCAAACCAAACCGAAGCGAAACGAAACGAAACCAAAACCCCAAACTGATTCTGAAGCGTTGGCGTATTAAATTTGTATAAACCTTGCCATGACTAACTGTCTAGGATTTGCCTCACAGCAAAGGATGTCCAAACCAAAAGTTCTTCGTTTTCTGCTTAAAGCAACTCAGCTTTGTGCTCATCATATTAGTTGGTAGCTTGGTGCTGCAATTTCAAGAGCTAGAAAAGTTTTTTCCATTCGAGGCGAGCAAGTTGAGAGCCAAGTTTTAGTTTGGAATTGCAAACTGCGAATATGGCGGGACGTAACTTTTTTAAAATGATAAAAACTGAAGAATTTTTTTTTAGTTTTGTGCCCGAATAGCTTTCGGCATTTTGTACAGATTGCCGATGGCGCAGCGCCTGAACATTGTTTGCTCAAAGGATTAAGTTATCAAAATTGGAGAAGAAAACTGGTTCTGGTTCTCTGGTTCTCTAATAATTAACACAAGTCAACTTGTTAATCATTGAGCAATTGGCAGCAGTTGATTCCCAAAAGGGTTGTTTGTAAGCCGCATCGCTGATTTTTTAATCAGCGCATATCATTGACTGGCCCGCGGGTCCCTTTCGCGGGATCAACTCGTTCCGTCAGCTGTCAACATTTTTATTACCCCTCAACGAGCTCTCGTCTCAGCTTTTAATCAGCTATAATTATAATTACCAAATAAAATGAGAAATGAGAAAAAAAAAAGAATACCCAAGTTAGGAAATTGTTCCGGGTAGTTTCTAGCGTGTTTTCATTACGACTTAAGTCAACTTGTTTCGTCATTTATTACGCTTCACATTGTTGTTGGCACATCTGCTAATTGTTGTTGCTGTTCTCTGTCGGCGATACCCTTTACTTTTCCATTCTTGTTTCGCTTATGGGGTGAAGTCCCACATTAATGATTAAGCGTGGAAAATTGCGTGATTGTTGCCTGCTCTTCTACTCCACGGTATCAAATTGATGACGAGTATATTAGATTATGAAAAAATATTTGAGTAGAGCTTCCAGTCAAAATGAATTGCATAAAACAAAATTTTTTGAATTAAGTATGTGTAAAAAATATTTATCATTATATATAGATTTTTTGTTCCAATTTCATTAATTCATAATTTTTAATTTTCATATTTTATATTATACACATATAATTTTTTGTTCAATTTATTTACTTTTTTTTATTATTTCATAATCATTCGGTTGCATTCCTTTCTTAATACGTTCAAATATGTATCAATATGTTAGAACCTAATTTGCTACTAAGTAAAACAAATTGCTCCCAAATACAGTAAGGGTATTCTTATACTATATGGCGCTCGTTTATTTCGATTTCGATTGCGATTGCGATGTTTAGTCTGCCAATCAATCTTTGTCTTTGCTTGCAAAAAAAGTCTGGTAAAAAGCGAACTTTAAACAAGAAAATAAGTTCGCTCTTGTTGTTGTTATTTAAATGATTGATGAGCACGACGTTCATCTGGCTATTATGGCGCGCAGATGTCGTGAATTGGAGCTGAAATTCGGAATATGCATATAGATAAATACGATACGCAAATATTTGCACAGACATTTGCTGGCTATTGAAAAAGTTTTTAATTCTTACGTATATTTTTTTTTTTTTGAGAATGCATAAATGGTATGTGTGTAAAAAAATTGAAAATTTATGGATGTGTAAGTTTTTAGAGGTTATTGATGTCAGCTGCAAGGTTTTTCTCTTAGAGCATTTCCGTTTCAAGCAACAGTTGAAGCTGATGAAGTGAAGAATGATTACAACTTGCCTTATTTAAAATGAGGCATGCTAAGTATTCCTTATCTCTACAGAATTGAGAGAGAGAGAGAGAGATAAAAGAATAGTCAAATAATAATTCTCTTCCGAACGCATAGCATAAAACCAATATACTTTTTCTCACTACATGAGCGGGTATGGAAAACATTCCGAATAGTTTTTTGTTGCACGTCAGTTGACACTCTTGGAAGGAAGTGTTGACACTCTGAAGATTGATAGCTGCACTTTTGTGTATTATTTTTTTTTTTTTTAATTCTTGATGCCCTTTCCGCTGCCAGCCATTTTGTTGGTCTGGCCTGAACCCAAAAAAATATTTGTGTGCCTGCCTGCCTGGCGGCCTGCCTGCCTGCATAGGCGTTTGTGCAACGTGCCACATGAAATGCGTCTCGTAGGCGCCAGTCCGAGAATAATTTATGCAATTTTGAACTCTTCAAAAGGCAAACGAAAAATTGCCCAACCAAATATAATATATTTATGCATGCTGCATAGCATAGCAACAGCTATCAGTGAGTGTGTACACACACATGTGTGTATGTGTGTGTGTATTCTCTTGTGTAGTTCATTTCCATGCACCATATAGTTTATGGCCCGAATCACTCATCGTTGCTTTTGACAGACATTTTTGACTACGCTTTGCATTTTGGAAGTTTTATACCCTGTTTCCTTAAAAGCTCGAAAGGGTGTTCAGAATTTGTGGCAGTTTTATGATATAGTACAATTCATCAGGTGTGAACGTTTGCTTGATGTGTAGCGGAATTCATTTTATAGCCTTGATTTGCTGTCTCAGCCAGTTGAGCCAAGGGCTTAGAAGGCATGTGCTAGTCGAGCATATTTAGTTTATTATATTGTTGTGGCATATTTTTTTGGTTTATTTAAAGTGCTTCAATTTATGCAAAAGTTCTACTCTAGCCACGCCCCCATACACACATAAACACACACATACAGGTAAATTGTGCTTTGGGCCATGTTTGCTACGTATTTTTGGAGTGTTGAGTGGCGTCTCGTGTCTGGTGGCTGGCGGAGTCTGTAGACTACGCCGGAGTTTTGGTAGTAGCTCTCTGTCAGCTGTAAGTGATGGGCGTTGTTGCTATTGTTGTTGTTGTTGCTGTTG